CTTCAGCTATCTATTGATGTAGCTGTTTGTCTTTCACCTATCTGTTCATGTACTGACGATGTACTATTATCTCTATGTATAATGCTGGCTGTCTTTTCCTCTGCCTTTTGTACGGAATTCACTTTGTGTTTGAGCCCTTATATATACACATACATACGTATGTTTACATACATACATACATACATACATACATACATACATACGTACGTACGTACGTACGTACGTACGTTCGTACGTACTTACGTACTTACGTACTTACGTACTTACGTACTTACGTACTTACTTACATACATACATACATACGCACATACATACATACGCACATACATACACACATTATATATATACAGACATACATACATACATAAATACATACATACATACATACATACATACATACATACACACACATAATAAAATATGTACATACATACATGCTAAACGTTTGATTTGCATACATACGTACATACATGCATACCTTCATTGCATTAATACATGCATACGTACATACATACAAAGATGCATACATATATATATATATATACACAGGCATATCTGCGTGTATATATATATATATACATACATAGACACAAAACATATACATCCGTAGACATGTGTGCAGAGAGCTATGTGTAAACTCGTAAGTATGTATGTAAGCATGTCTGTATGTAAAATGTTTGTACATACCCCCAAAAGGTTCCAGGTTACCAGCCCAGTCCCTGAGGATTCTTCTGACATCCCAGTGGCATGTGCTCGCCCTTCGCTGCCACCTTGCCCTTGCTGAGATCTAGGCCTGGTCACGTTCGGTACACTGGAACCGTAGACTATTCCAAAGGGTCCTGGTTTAGGGTTTAGGGGTTTAAGGTTTAGGTACTGTTATGGGAGTTTCCGAAAATAGGGGACCCTAATATAGTACCCTAATAGGACCCTTATTATAAGGACCCCAAAATAAGGTACCCTAATTTTTGCAAACTCCCTTATGGGGGAAACCGACTGTCTACCATGAAGGTGCGCGGAGCTTAGACCAAGACCTTCCTATATCCCCTAGCCACGGAATGTAACTTAAGTCATAGTAGGACCCCTAATATGCTTTAAGGAATGTATCCTAATAGTAGGATCCCTCATAAGCTTTAGAGTATATGCCTTAATTAAGGGATCTTGGAAGGTCTGGAGGTTTAGGGAACCGCAGACTGTAGGCTTTACCGTTGAAGCAAGGACTTTTCCGTACCCTGGAACCGCAGAGTAAAGTGTTCAGGGTTTACTTCAAGGGTTTTCGCCACCCCGGAATGGTGGAGTTTTCCGGTCTAGCGATCGTGGCTGCCTTGAGCGGTTTCGGCCTGCAGCTTTGAGGCTCGTCGCGTGTTTCAGCTGCTAGAACGGCTTTAAATTTTATATCTCAGGAGGAGCCGTCCGTGTGTGTTTGTGCGCAAGAGTGTGTGTGCATTTTTTGTGCGAGACGTGTCATGGGCAGAGGACACCTTCCTAGATTTCACTTGTAAGCCGAAACCTCCCACCCTAGAGCCTTAGATCTCAGGAAGTCTTCGACAGCTTTCAATCCCCAACGCTGGAACACAATCTCCGAATCGCCCCTCAATTTAGACGTTCTGAACTTCGCCAGACGTCGAAGCCTGTGTGTCGTACAGCCTTACTCGAACACCTCCAAAAGTTGCTTAGGTACAAACTGTTTGTGGGATATGAACCATAACCCATTGTAGGGGCTCCTTTATGCTCCTTACCCTCAGGAGCGCATGCTCCCCCGAATACTAAACTACACATCTACTCCCCTAAACCCAAGTAGCGAAGTGTTCGGTCCTTTGGACTCGTATCTGCAGAATCATGGGACTTTGTGACAAGGGCTCTATGTATATGTATATATATATATACACATTTACCAATTGTAAGCCCAGTTTGAGGTACGTACTTATAACCTTACTTGCTAAGTCTTCTGATCCTCCAAGCAAAGGGTCCAAGGACCCAGACACTAGGGTGTTGGGCGCCAAATTTTCCGTACTCTGAATGGTTCTTGGAACCTAGAGCCCTACTGTACCCTACTAGTTGGGTCCTCCAAGTAGGGCCAAAATCGATCCTCCAAGTCGATCCCTTTCATGGAGCCCTTCAAGCAAGCCTTTGAGTTACCAGGTCCCCTGATCCTCCAAGTACAGTAAACTCGGATGTGGGTTGTTGTCTAAATTAGGGTCCCTTTTAGGGTCCTTTTTAGAAGGGTGCCGTAATCTATTGGGGACCTAAAAAGCGACCCTAATTTAGAGAACTGCCCATGTACACATGGGTGGTTGTCAAAACTACTTAAAGGATCATGGGACTTAGTAAGTAGGGTTATAGCTAAGGTAACTATACTTTTCACCCCAATTAATGGACTTATAACATTTAGAGAACGACCCATGTGTCATTCCGCGGGCTTCGATGCCTCCTGGAGAGGATCCGGGCGTGGAATGTTCGGTCGGACCTGCCGCTTAGGGTCTAAGGTTTAGGGTTTAGGGTTTTGGGTTTTGGGTTTTAGGGTTTAGGGTTTAGGGTTTAGGGAATGACTTAAAGGATCATGGGACGTAGTAAGTAGGGTTATAACCAAGGTAACTTTACTTCTAACCCCAATTAAGGGACCTATAACCTTACTTACTAAGTCCCACGATCCATTAAGTAGGGTCTAGGGCGGTTTAGGTGGGGGTTAAGCGTTTAGGTGTTTAGGGCTTAGGGGTTTAGAGTTTAGGGCTTTCGGGCTGTGGGGTTTATAGGGTTTACAGGATTAGGATATAGGCGATATAGGGGTTTAGGGTTTAGGGGTTTAGAGGTTTAGGGGCTTCGGGTTTAGTTTACAGGTTCAGCGGTGTAGGGTTAGGGGTTGAGGGTTTAGGGGTTTAGATAGAGGCTAAGGGTCAGAAGGTTTGGGGGTTCAGGTTTACGGGCTTAGGGCTGCCCACGGTGACGTTGTGGACAGCACCGGGACACCTCTTCCAGCAAAGCATGGGTGTATGACACTCGGGCAATGAAGAGAACTTCAACACTGTTTCCGTCCAAGCATCTTTGGAATTTGACATGCAGGGCATAAGTTCTGGCATGGCTTCGGTCATTTGCACCTCCTGTAGAATAGCTTCAGCACCATGGCAGCGTTCGCTTGCGTGTCTGGGTTGGCTGGTATGTTGACAGTTTCAGCATCTTTTGTTATGGCCAAGAGTCCAAAGTTGGATGTGAAGGAGGTCAGCATGTCATTGAAGACATCTTGTTTCGATATGAGCGCATCCTCTCCATGGAAGTTCAATGAGTGGAGTGTCTTGGAATGCTTTCCTTTGTTCCGATTCATGGGGCAAGGAAATGAATCTGTTCGTGTCCGGGAGGCGATTGCTCCATTGGGACGTACAGAATGCGCTTCGCACAGATGCCATGCGAGAGCACAGATAGATGCGACTGTAAGGAGGTAAAAGTGGCTCCATTGCTTGTAATCAGCAATGTGGTCTCCAGGCTCTCTTTGACAACACCATCACGAGCATTTTCGAAACTCGGTGTCGAACCTGATATGATCACACTCTTCCAGACGCAGGAATGACATTTTGGATCTGAAAGTACTGGTTCCATCGACACGTCGTTGACAACGCATGGGGATCTCACAGCAGGACTGATGGGGCTTAGGATCAGCCTGTCTGCTGCAGTAGGTTTAAGTAATGTGGGAATTGAAGCTCCTTCGCACAGGAAATGTTGAAGCATCCCTTCATGTCCAGTTCAACCCATATGACACCGGCGCTGACAACAGGGGATACCTGTTACCAATTCTTCCGAACTCTATGCTAAATCCTTACAGTAGCCCTTATGGCTTGTCTGCTTGTCCGTAGCTGGTGCACATTCCTAACCCTTGTAGTAACCCCCACACCCACAAACCCTTTAAAAGGAAGCCTTTTCGATTTCGCTTGCCTGACTTCCTGGCTTGCGCAGGTCCGACCCTAAACGCTAAACCCTAACCCCCCCCCCTGTAAAACCTTCCTTTTCAGTGCCTGTGCAAACCCCCTTTCAAGATCCCCTAAAAGAAGCTTGAACCCTTGAAAACCTGATGATCCTCGAACGCAAGGGCCTTGTTCCCCTATACTATGCATTCCTAATACGGTATCTGAAACCCAAACCCCTGTTAGGGTACACTTTGTCCTCAAGGACTGCTCAACTAACATTAAAAGTGCCAAGCCACATCTGTCACTGATCTGCCCCTCGTCCCGCACTGGTAATATTAATGATTAGAATAGGGTTTTGGGGTATATTATGCTTTAGTTTTAATAAGGAACCCAAAATAGTGCTGGTGATTCTTTAAGCCCCTACATTAGGATATGATATGGGGCCTGCCAGCACCAGGTCGGTTGTGACCTCGAAACACCAGAGGGTTAGGGTTGAGAACTGTAGGATCTGAGGTTTCGAATTTATATAGGGGTGTGAGGTTTAGGATTTAGGGTTCTAGGTTCAGGATTTGGGATGAACGGTTGAGGGTTTAAGGCTTCGGATTGCGAGTTCAGGGAGAGGGCTAAGTTTGCTTGCAGTGGATGTGAACCCCCTGTGAAAGTTTGGAGCCCGTATCCCATCCGCCCATGTTGCTTGCAGCTCGCGCTGAGTGGCAACCCACTTTGGGGTTTGGGTTTCGGGCTTAGGGTTTATAGGGTTCAGGGCCCTACCAGCAGCCGCAAAGATAAGGAAGTGTATATATATATATATATGCAGTTCTTGAACTCGGCGACTCCCACTCGTGAAGACGCCGTCGGGGAAGAAAAGCGCGTAGGTCACGTAGACGAAACACGCTGGCAAGAAGTCATTCTCTAAGCGGCGGCATGAAAGCAAAACTTCAGAGAAGCATCGGCATCAAGGGAAGGCATGCTAGACGCATGCTTGGCACTGATTACGAAGAATCTCACGTGACATCGCCGTAGCGATGGGACAAAACAGCCTTTCTCACACGCACCATCCATGCAAGAACAGCTTCGTCATATGACGGCTGAACGCCTTGAGGCCACCCAAGTCTTGCTTGAAGCGCTTCATCAGGGCGACGAGGCCTGCCGTCGCACATGACATCGCAAGCCCAATATGTATGAGCACTGTGTCCAGCTGCAGCATTGCAAAACGGACACATATCATTGCCACGAGTGGCAATACCATAGGCAGCAGGACTGCAGTATGCACCAGTCATGATGGCAAAGCGATCCGGACAGCCCGACACTTGCTTGAGAGCGAGCTTGCATCGATGAGAGTTGTAATCCATGACAGGGCAGCACAAGTTGTCATTGCGCTGCGAGTTTTGCCACAGATTCCAGGAATGTGCACGGAAGCCTTCACGCAACTGATGAAGTACCGACTCAGCACTGGAACACCAGTGAGGACTACGCTTGTTCAAAGCAACAGAAGCATGAGTGATGCTATGCTTCCAATGCCAAGGGCTGATAAACTCCCAACCATACCGTTTCAGCATGGCATGAATGGCAGCCGACCATCCAAGGTTCCAGTCCCAAAGACCAGGGATGAGCCTTGCAGGCTCCTTGTCAAGGACTCTCCTGGCAGCCGTAAAAGTAGCAGTGAGAGCACGAAAGCCGAAATGCAGCCTATGCCCTCTCAGAGCATCATGAAGATCAGGGCTGGCATAACGAGGCTCATGCAAAGCTTTCTTAATGGCCCGTTGGACCTTACGGCAAACCTCAAGCGTGGGAGGCTTCAAGCACCAGCCGAACTCGGCGTTAGCAAGTGGCCCAGCAGCAACAACCATGCGCGTCGTTTGCCACGATACAGGAAGAAACGTGGCACGAGCAATGAGACTGAGCACATCATCAATGCGAGTGTTCTCTTTGTCGCAATGACGACGCTGACAAGCACCACGAAAGACAGTGCCCAAAATGACAGGCTTGTCCGTGACTTTCGTCACTGGTGCACCATGATCGACAAGGGATCTACGACCCGAAATACTCTTATGGTAAAATTGACTTTTATCATCATTTTCCCTAAGCTGCAAGAGATCACTCCAAGACTTCCAGACTTCAAGAACTTGAAGAGCCTCTGGGGCACTTGGCGAAGCCCACGTACGATCATCTACGAAAGTACGCAACTCAGTGTCAGGAAAACGGCGAACAATCTCCCAGATGCAAGGAGTCAAAGTTGCCACCATTGCAAGAAGCGAAAAAGGATCACCTTGCGGCAATGAACGTTGCACACGCTCAGGTGCGTCAAGACAACAGCCTTGGAAGGAAATCAATCGCTGCTGATGCGTCCACTGTTGCAGTAGCATGGTGCTCAAACCATGTGGCAGCCCTAACTGCTTCATGATAAAAACTGCAATCTCAGGATCACAGAAATCAAAAGCAAGGCTAAAATCTAAGGAAACAATGTAATGACCTCTTGTTGCGCGGTCAAACAAGGGGGCCAGTGCATTATAAATTTCCTTTTTCTTCTTACCACCGATGGCTTGATCAGGCCACCAACGTTGGCACCATGCATTGGCATCACTAGTACGAAGCCTAGCCGAAGCCCAGAGGCGATACCAGCAACTAAATATTGAGAGCGGTCTCAAGCCGCCAACATCATGTGCGCCGTCAGCTTGTCTGAGGCCCTTACTAGCTTTTGGCAGATGACTCTGCTTAGCAAGCTGCCACGCATTAGGCAAGCGCTCAGAAGTTTCACAGCCAACGCAAAATTTGGCAAAAAGATCAAAAGCATCAGGAGGCAGCGAGCTGATCTCATCGCCTGTCCAACCGTCTAATCCTGATGCTTTTCCTTTGAGACGAGAAGCACAGGATGCGAACTCATCGGAAGTGACGGCGCTCCACTCGTGATTAGGAAGCGGCATGACATTATGATGCTGACATTCGGACAAAACACGCCCACGGACAGCGGGCATGTCGACTGGAGGTCTGTTCCAAACTTGCTTCCAGTAGTCACGCAAAAGCAAAAGAGAAGAGTCAAGGCAAGTTGTAGCATCCACAACTGCAAGACTTTCAGCAAACAAACCTCTGAAAGGCTGCGGTGCTGAAGTTTTGAGCCAGGTGTGACAAGCGCTCACACTACTCCGCAACTTCTGTCGCCAGTTATCCAAGCGACACTTGCTCTGAGACTCGCGCTCATGCTTTAACGCAGTCTCCATGGTGCGGATTTGAGACTGAATGTCTTGACTCCTATCAAACAGTGGATTGGCAGTGGTTTTTGTCACCAGTGACTGGAACTCAACCGTGTTTTCTTTACCCAGGCTACTGAGCTTCCTTCTTTCTCTCATCTGGGCAAGGAAATTGCGAATTTTTCGGACCTTGAAGGTATCAACCGCATGGCCAAGCTTACCAAACAGGGGGTAGTGATTAGAGGTCTTAAAGGAACTTTAGACAGACCAGACCAACCAACCTTTCGGCAATCATCGTTAGATGACACAGTCTTCTGACGAGCATGACGCAGCATGCTCTGGTAGTAGTCAGAAACACTAGCCCATAAGGCATCAATTTGCGATTCAGTGGCCTGAGAAGGGATGCACGGCGGACTACAATTCAGCATGTAGTCACTGCAGCTCGCTTGTGACCCTAGCAGGGCGGGACAAATCCACATGCTTCTGAAGACGCCACGGGTGAGATGTTTTCTCAGTGTCAAAGACAGCATCAAAGTGCAAAATCTTATGATCGGCAATTGCTTCGGCTTCCAGGAGCCTCACCGGAGTAAAATTGCTGCAAGAATTTGTCACCAGAAAATCGATGCAACGAGTTCCTTCCCATCTGGTTGGTGCAGGTGCACCATTTGCAAGGCGGGCAAACAAGGCAGTTAAGCCCGGTGACGCGGCATCTTGCAAAATGCAAGTCTCTGACGGTGTATCGTTAAAATCGCCGACAGCTGCGAAAACAGATCCTGCAGGCATCAAGACCTGCATCTCGGTGAGATGCTGTGCTAGCGGCAACCGAACACCAGTGGGAACCTGATAACAGGAGCTGAACGTGATGTTTTCCACGCGAACTGTGACGCATTGACAGTCATCGCAAGACAACGCATCAATCTGCGTGCTGCGCAAACGAGAATGGACAAGGAGCATAGCACCGCCCCAAGCCTGATATTTGCGAACACGGGCAGGCGCATCATAGATGCGATACTGTGATTTGCAGACATGACGTATGAAACCATTACGCTCACTATTCTTTAAACCATCCTCCTGCAAAGCAAGTATATCAATTTTGTGCTTTCGAGCAAGTTGAAAAGCCTCCCAAGCACCATTACCACGTCCAACAGTAATGGACCAAACCTTGGCAGTGAAGCGATTAGGACATGGGCTAGGGCCAGGATTAGGGTGAATGTCTCCACACATCGTAAGGTCCGCAACCCATGAATGAAAGACAGTTGTGATCAAAGAGCAAAGAACTGGAACTATGCCATAAGGCATAGCCCAGCATCTCCGTCAGCATTCCTTGACCTGGAAGATGCGATCAAGCTCAGCAAAAGTCTTGCCGACGGCCTCAGCGTAATTGGCAGCATGCTGGGGGGAATTCTTCTTAAGATTCGTCCACATGCGACGCTGACCTTGCACAACTTCTTTCTGTTTCATACGCTTCAGATTTTGAGTGCAAGTATGACAACCACCTTGTTTGTCTTGCTTCAACTGAAACAGGCATTTTTTGCAGTAGTAAAGACTGCCGCGCTCACCTTTGGCAACCCTCTCAGGGGAATCGACCTTGACTATCTCATGCGTCTTATACAACTTGGCACGTTGCTTAGCATACTTCTCAGTCAACAGCGTAGCTACAGCAGGCTTCTTGAAGATCTTCGCCCTCAATGCAAAGAGCGTCCTGGGGGTGTAGCCCGGGTGACAATCACTGATGTGCTTGGCGACAGCACGTTTGTGATCTTGATGAGGCAATGTAGGAAGAGCAGCGTTGCATCCCGTGATGGGACATGCCCGGCCCTGTTGATCAGGTGGCAGAACATACGACACCTGAGTGGTTGTGGGAGGTTGTCGCATGATGAGAGATCTATCCAAATCAGCATGTCTGGACTTCCAATGACGCTGGAATACATGCCTTCAAAAACCGCATCACACGCAGGGCAGGGCCAAGTGAAAAACGCAGTATGTCTTGCCTTAATCTCTTTGGCACGTTTGATCTTTTGCCTTTTGATTGCAGCATCAGTCTTGACTTTACTCTTAGGTTTACCAGCTTTGGTGGGGAGTTTACGCCTACCAACCGGCTGCGGGGGTGCATCACAGGCAAACTTCTGCCCAGGCTTTGGTTGGACTGAAGTCCTTGACGTGTCTTCGAACCACTTCTCCTTGGCTGCAGGTTTGCAGCTTTGGTGCACTGCAGATGCAGACGCAGGCGCCGTAGAGCATCTACTTGACTTGTTACACACAGCCCTCTTCGTACTGACAACACTAGCTCCACTAGAAGCAGGCAACCAGGACTTAAGGGACTTACCAGTCGCTTTAGCAACTCTAGCTTGGGAGCCAGAGGCTTTGTTGCTTTTACTTGCAGTCGTTGACGGCGGAAGCCAGGACCTAAGGGACTTGGGTCCACTGTTACCACTGGCAACACTAGACGCAGGCAACCAAGACTTAAGCGAAGTTGAAGTCTTCATGGCATGCTTGATGCTCGATGCACTGGATGAAGCAAAGGTTTTGCCCGCACCTCTAGCTTCACCAGCATCAAACGAAATGCCAGCTGGGGGTATGATCCACTCATGAGGAAAAGGCTTTGACTCCTGTGGCTCAAGAGTACGATAGTGACTGTCTTTCAACAAGAGGGGCATCGGGGCATGCTGATTAGCCTCATCAACATTCTTAGGGAGTTGTTGATGGGGCGACAGAACTGCAACATGCTCCCATCGTTCATTTCTCCATTGAAAAATTACTAAGTGGCGTGAAAGCTTGGTTGCCATAGTGGCCAGGCAAGGGCCATCAATCCACCGCTGGGGTCGAGCAGTGGCTTCAATCCACTCAGAATACGTGCGTGGCACAACTCCTGCTTCACGTGCAGGTGTCCATCGCGAATCAGGCACAAAAGTACTTTCGTAAATGGCATGTCTACGCAAATGAGACGTGATCTGCGCACGAAGGGTGGCACCAAGTTGGCCAGCATTCTTGACCACATCAACTTTGGGGCGATTGCTTGCTAACGCGTATGCGGCAGCTCCAGCACGATACGCGCAGTCTCCATCGCCACCTAAGTCAAGGATGGAGTAGCCATGAAGCGAGTCATTGCTTTTATCATCCACGACTTCAGCTTTGGCACGTTTCTTTTCAGGAGAATTTCCCTGACCGGAACTCCTTTTGGGCTGGTCACTCGACTCTTTCTGTGATGGGTCATCAACAGCAGTAGCAGAGATTTCAGTTTCCATAGGGACTGGTCCAGATTGCTTTTGAAGACCTTTCGGACCAACATCCCTGGACCAGGCATCCTCAGTGTCTCTGCTCAAGCGTCTGCCAGCATAAACAATGCGACTTTGCTTCGGGGCTTTGGCGGCATGGAAAAATCTGGAAATGCTAATGCAAATGGTGTTACCAACTTCATAAGCAAAGCAAACGGCATCACGATTGACAGCTTTGAAAAGCCATCCTCGCTGTTTGGTAGGCTGTGCAACAAGCTCAACTTCGTGCCACTCGTTAGCCCTGAGCCAAGCAAGAAGCGTGCCGGTTGACCAATCACGAGGCACACCTCTCGCCTCCCAAACCTTAGCAAGGTTGCTGTCACTTGGCTTAGCATCAGGAGGCAGGTGCTGACCAAGACGACTTTTCCCTTGTCGCCTAAAAGCAAGTCCGAGGGAGGACTCAGCAGCAACCCTTTGGAAATAAGCGTCGTCATCCTCATTTGGTCCTTATATATATATATATCTATAGACATCAGAACAAGGAACCCTAAGAAGGTAGCTCTTGTCGGCTACAGGTAAACCCTCAACCAATGAACAACGAAGCATTCGGTCCCCCCTCCGCTCCAAGTCTTGGCACACTCTTACTCCACAGACTCCATGCTCAGTAATATAGGGGCCTTAAACCCTAAACCCTAAACCCTAATGATTAGAAGAGGGTTTTGGAAGAACTTATACTACAATTGTAATTAAGGAACCCCCAACAGTAATCTACGGGTCTTAATAATTAGAATAAAGCTTTGGGGTATATTCTACTGCAATTGTTACAAGGAAGCTCCAGAACAATATAGGTAATGTAGGAGCCTTAATAATTGGAATAGGGTTTTGGGGTATATTATACTACAATAACCCTAAACCCTACACCCCGCCAAAATAGCTTTAGGGTTTAGGGTATAGGGAAAGTTCAGGATGTAGGGATCCTCTTTGTCCCCTTAAATATAAGTAATTATCCGCCCTTTGTTGGCAAGTATTTAAGTTCAACAGGGCGCAGATAGAGAGTCCAGATAAACCAATAAAAACAATAACAATGATCACAAAACCAAGCCTACTACCCACAAGACGAAAAGCATTAGGAACAGCAACACGGAATACTAGCAATATCGCAAGTTCATATCGATCAGAAACGCTGCCGAAACTGACTCCGAATCTTTCCCGACTCTTGCAGCAGTAACAATCCTGAACACCTCATGCAGATCACTTTGAGCATCGCACCGGAAGCGCCGTGAGCGCAGCGGGTCGGCGGGGAGCCTCCTCTGTGGAGTCGGCTAAGCGAACCTTGCGCGAAGACTTCGATAAAGGCGCCTTCTATATGGCTTAGGGTTTAGGGTCGGCATACTGTTGATGATATAAATCTGCATTACCTTGAGGACCCTCAACTACGGGAATTATGATACATTGCTTACTATGGGTAATGCAGGATTTATTTCATCAACCGTACATTCCCTTCTAGCCCATCATCATACAATTGTTCTATGTCAGAAACCATCAGAAACCTGTTCTGCAGCGCCGGGTTTGGGGTTTAGGGCGCGACCTAGGGAATGGGATTGAAATGCTCAGGTATTGTCAGAGGGATTTGGGATGTCTGCATGAATGTCGTTGATCCGAGATGATCTCTGAATCTGTTTCGCGGTTGGGTCCTTACGTTCGCAGTCACGCGTCAAAGAGCGTTTTCCGGCATCCAAGGGTCATCATGAGAACGAGGCATGGCTTTTCCTCCAAGCACTCCCCATGTTCCGGCCCAACCGTATCTCAGCACCCGATAGAACTTTTATACTCGATACTCACAGCCACTGCCAGAAAACCACTTGACACATTCCCCATCAATTGTCCAGTATCCTAGGGGAACCAAAGGTTAACCTTTTGGGGCCATTTAAGCAGCATAGTACCCCATTCAGGTTAAAGGTTACCGAATCTACTGCTGAGGGCAACTTTCCAAGAGCCCAGCCGGTGGCCGAGGTGGTGCAGGCTGTGCCGGGGCAGCAGGATAGCTGGTCACCTCAATCGAAGTATGAACTGGATAATCTAGGGGCCTCAATACTTAGAACAGGGTTTTGGGGCCCACTATGCTATCACTATAATAAGGACCCCCCCCCTCCCCCAAACAGCATAGGTAGTTTTTTAGGCCCCTACATTAGGGGCCCGAAAAATTCAAATAGGGTATTGGAACACCTCTTAATCCTTGCGACGGAGTACCCTAGCCCAAAAAGGGTTAACCTTTGACATGATACTAGGATCATATAAGCCCCAATAGGTTAAAGGTTACCTACCCAGCCCCGAAGGAACACAATATAATGTGGGGCCTAAATAACAATAATCTATACTATTTTGGCAGGTTCCTTATTCGAATTCGATTATAATGGGCTCAAAACCCTATTCTAATCATTAAGGCCCCTAGACCCTAAACCCTTATAGCAGCACTTATAGAACCCTTTAAAGGAACCCCCAAAACCCTATTCTAATTATTAAGGTCCCGATAGTACGTAGATATGATCTGGCCTTAAGTTGACTCTTTTTTTTGGGTTTAGGGTTTAGGGCTTAGGGTTTAGGGTTTAG